CCATCTGGAAGGCGGGGGTCAGGTCTCCCTGTTCTATGAGTGACGTCGACGTCAACAGTATTGAGAAGAAGTTGACGGAAGCCATCATATGGAGTGTCGACATCTTGTACTTCTCGAACAGCACTGTCTGCCAATTGGACGTAAACGAGTCGAACGTCAAGTACAGCACTAGTATGAAGAGTCCCCCGTAGTAGTGGTCAGTAGACGACTCCAAGTCCATAGACTTGTGGTGGTGTCCGGCGCCGCCATTCACGGAGTGGTCGTTCAACAAGAATATCGTCATTCCCAGTGATATTGCAATGGCGAACACGTACTCAACGGTGCGATACTTTTTACCGCCAATCAGTTGCGACATAAGCATTACTGGCATTATTTTGCACGCTTTCGACAACACCTGTACGGAAACGAACAAAACCATATTTTTATAGTTATATTTATTTATTGTTTTACTGATTGTTGTGATTGTGATTATGATAGTAAATATCCAGATGTGCTATACCTGTGTGGGAAAGCTGACAAACTTGAGGGCCTCGTATTGACACCAACTGCTTAGTATGTTTGAAAGGGAACAATATATGTATTGGTGTAGTGGGGGCTCACACTTGGCCACCGGTCGGCCTGTGTTTTGCCTATTTTTAACATTCAAAGCGACGAATGCTATGATAAACGCCAGAATCCTATTAACCAACACTAGAAACTGGGAATTTCTGAATTTTATGTGATATGTTTCCGACGTTTCCTTGTTTTGGCCATCATTTGAAACTTTAATATCATCTTTAATGAGAGAATTGATGTGAAAGTTATGTCATAACAGGATATTTATAATGCATTTGTAATATAAAATAGTCATTATAGAGGATAGTCATTGCCAACAATAATATTGCTTACAATACAGAAAAATTTAATAATTTTTATTTCCATATAAAATATTATAATTATTTTCATTTTTTGTGCTTATGATTCAAACAATATATTGTAAGAAATAGATGTCATTATTATTTTATAGTTAAAGAAATCGTTTAAGTGTTTATAGGATTGAATATAAATTAAATATAAAAAGATTGATTGTGGGAATGATAGGAAAAAATAGCATTGAAATCAAGTATCAATTATAAGTCTAAACACATTAAAGAGAGTTTTGTAGTGAAAGTTGTTTTTTTCTTAAGGATTAGATTCAATGCAAAGATATTATGCGTTAAATTGAGGCCAAGTTTTTTGCATAATTTTCATGCCAACAGTCATTTGGTAGTGAATACATAAACAACTCATAATTATTATACAAAATGTTTTTAAAGGAAAAAATCAAAGCATATTATGTTTTGTTTACAGTTATGTAACATACAAAATAAACCATGTATTTTTCGTGCTTTATTAAATAAACTATGTTACTACAGTTGGTTTTCGACAAAATGATAAATTTATATGTGATTAGCTACCTAAGTTTCTATGAACCACTATTTATACCATACAATTGTATATGAATACAATGAAATGACAGTAAAAACAATTTGGCAATAATCTCTTATCGCCACAAAGTTATGTGATTTCCTAACAAAACTCAATATCCTATACAATGGTTAGGAAGAGAGTAAATGGTTTGTTGAATAATGTATGCAAAAATTGAATGCTATCTAATGTAATGCTTATGTGTCTAATCATTCATTCATTCATATCCTCTACTAATGATTTTTTAGCAATTTTTTGCTGTTTTAAGTGTTTTAATGCAGACGTGATCTACACTTCTGTTAAGATATTAACCTTTTTATTGATAATCACTGTTCATATGATAGACACAGCTTTGGAAACAAAACACTAACAAAACATTACAAAACAAATGTCAATACATTGTATGTTTTATTTGGTACATAAAAAGCACGAAATAATTTATTTGATACAATGATGTCAACCAAAAGCTGTTTTACTATTTAAATATACACTAATCGATGGATTCACTCTATGAACCACTATTTATACCATACAATTGTATATGAATACAATGAAATGACAGTAAAAACAATTTGGTAATAATCTCTTATCGCCACAAAGTTATGTGATTTCCTAACAAAACTCAATATCCCATACAATGGTTAGGAAGAGAGTAAATGGTTTGTTGAATAATGTATGCAAAAATTGAATGCTATCTAACGTAATGCTTATGTGTCTAATCATTCATTCATTCATATCCTCTACTAATGATTTTTTAGCAATTTTTTTGCTGTTTTAAGTGTTTTAATGCAGACGTGATCTACACTTCTGTTAAGATATTAACCTTTTTATTGATAATCACTGTTCATATGATAGACACAGCTTTGGAAACAAAACACTAACAAAACATATAATTTTCCACTCAATTACTAATTAATGCCAAAAACTAACAAAAATAAAATTAATCATTAAATAAAATATACGGTAAATCTCTCCTCAGTTTTGGTGAACGATAAAAGGGGTTAAAGTTTTACCTGTGTTTTCATTGCAAACAATTATTGCTATTTTAATACACAGGAAACACATTAATGACTATTTTTATAATTCAAAGCAAATTAATAAAAGCTTAAAATGTGTTTATTTTACGCCAAAAATAAATTAAATATTTAAACAATTAAAAATTTAAATACCATTTGAGTGCCGGTCAGAGATCGTAACCAAATGTTTGTGTCCTTCGGTGAAGAACTGGCTTTGGATGACGTATTCGGTGGTCATTATCTTCTCCTGAAGTAAACCCCAACTCAAGTACGAGACCTGAAGACCGAGGAAACAGTAGAGAAGAAGTGTCACCCGTCGGGTCCGTATCGATGCCCAGGGATTGGTGGGCATAGACTTGGATGTCGACGGTTTGGGCTCAATGTCCCGAAGACTCGTCGGCAATAACTTCTCGTTTGTGGACAAATCACCCAAATCTTCGTCAGAGTAATTGTTGTCAACAATTGTCTCATTTTTGCCAAAAACAAAGAGTTTGACGAAATAATTATCGGCAACTGTTCACGTGATTCAATCGCATATAATTTTGTGGACAAATCGCCCAAATCTTCGTCGGAGTAATTGTTGTCAACAATTGTCTCATTTTTGCCAAAAACAAAGAGTTTGACGAAATAATTATCGGCAACTGTTCACGTGATTCAATCGCATATAAAAAATGATTAATGACATGAATGGATCCAATCGGTGACACTTGCAATACATACCGAAATGAATACACAATCGTTTCCTAACCATATATACGGTGAGCGCCGACGGAATCACAATCACTGCATAACTCAATAAATTAATTAACAACCGGTGAAACCAATTGTCTTCAGTGAGCACTTGGATCAGCTGTTGTGTGTCCACTGGCGATGACGTGTGGACTCTGGCCACGGCTGTAGTGGTGGCCAGCATTGGTTTGGCCGCACAAACACCACAAACACATATCAATGGCACTAACCGTATGGCGAGACTCACGAAGACATGTGTGGCCGACATCTGTGGCTCTTAGACACCATTTATCGGTCCAATCGGTGGAAGTGTTTGAAAACTTCTTCACTTCTGTATTGAGCGCTCGATTCAATACAACTCAACGCTAACTCTAACTCTCACTCAACACAAGTCTCGCATCACAACTGCATTCAAAACTCATTACGAAATGTGTTTTTATGTCTGTTTTGAACCCAATGTTCGCAAAGCAAAGCCATTAGATGTCAGTATAAGTGCCACTCATTTGCCAATCAATACCATTGCAAACACTTCTCGTTTCTGTTTCTCACTAAAAAGTTTATCACAACTTTTTTTGCGTTCAATTATCGGCGGATAAGTTGTCTTTAAATCGGGATTTAAATTAAATCACAAAATTATGCTTTTGTGTGATCTTTACATTACTATCAATGGCTGAATAGTAATATTTTTATTCAATGTATTAACAGTTGTTATTCCAGAACTCAATCACTCAATCAGTTGTGAACACTTGTTTTTATGATTCCTCATTTGTATCAAGTATTTAGTATTTGGTTTTGTTCATCAAATCTAATCTCGTATTCAATTATATTCTTTCGGATGAATTCATGAATTAAATGATTTGATGTGTGTTTCGGATATCACTCTCCCGTATAAATGGTATTTATATGCCATCTTCAGTGACCCATCTTTTCAATTATCTTTACCAATGAGAGAGAGAGAGAGAGAGAGAGAGAGAGAGAGAGAGAGAATAACAAATGTAAATTTATATAATTTAAATATTGGAGTATACTGTATTTATATTTGTCTGTTGTTTATTATAATACATTCTAAGCAAAAAATCGCATATTGAAATGTCATAGAGGGTTAATTGCACTTATAATGTAACCCTGTGTACTCATCTAATTGTCATATTTGTTATTCTCAACCTATCTGTAAAACAATGAAATAAATATCTAATTATTTGAGACATTTATAAATAGATACAGTAATGCACACAGTATTAACAAATATGGTTAATAAATATCATGATTATATCAAAATAATAGCACGAACAAATATTAAATGCATACTTAATTGAAATCAAACTGTTTTCATTGAAATTGATTTATATGATTAGAAAGCCAGTTAAATATATACAGCATATGAATAAATAAAATGTCAAACGATTGCATAACTTCTTATCAATATTAGTGACATAACAAATGATAACTATAATCGTGTCGATGAGGGAAATCTGACCGAATTGTACTAATCAATGATAAACAGCAATAAAATCAATATATAATTCTTTATAAAAAAAAGATATTATTTTGATGTACTTATGAATAGATGTAATGATAGTATAATATGAAAAATAAGATAAAACTTTTGACGAATATAAAAGCCGGGAAAAATTGTTGCCAATTATTCAAAGTGTTGTTTGTTAACACAAATAGTAGTTTAATATTAAAAATAAAACTATATAAAATTTTAACAAGTTCAAACAAAATGTTTTTTGGTATTAATTCGTTGATTTTGGTGATTACACTACTGGGAATATTATATTTGTAAGTAATTGTAATAATTATTTATATTTGTTTAAATTATATTACAATAACATTTATATACCAAATGTAACATTAATTGTATATTTTTGACAGTTATTTGACAAGAAATTTCAATTACTGGCGAAGCCGTGGAGTGAATGGTCCGAAACCAATCATATTCTTGGGAACATTTTATCAAAACTTTTTTAAACCACTTCATATCGTTGTTCAGGAAAACAGCAAAAAATATGGCAAAATATATGGGTTTGAAAACTATTTTAAAATAATATAAATAAATTTCAATTAATAATTATTTTGACTAATATTTAGCGGCTTTTTCGGGACGACACCATTCCTAATGATATCAGACCCACAACTCGTCAAAGATATTGCTATTAAAGACTTTCACTTATTTACTGACAGACAGAGTATAGTAACTGGCGATCAGTTTTTCGATAAATCACTGTTTAATATGTCGGGAGAGGAGTGGAAGAATATGCGGTCCACTGTAAGACAAGTTTGACTAATCTATAAATAATTGTATTTTTAAAATAATTGTCTTTGTGTTATACTCGTAATCAGATTAGTCCCACATTTTCAAGTGGCAAAATGCGTTCAATGCATCCCATAATCATTGATTGTGTGAAGCGATTAGAGGATCAGTTGGTATCAAATGCAAAAAAAGGCAATCAAGAGATAATGTTGAACTCAATGATGGCAAACGTAACAATGGATGTGATATCTCAGAGCGCTTTTGGCACTAAATTAGAGCTTTACGGACAAAAAAAGTGTGATTTCCTCACTTATGCCCAGAAGATTGTGGAGCCATCGC